GCACAGGTATGATCAACTAGTGTGTGTATGCAGGTGTATGTAGATATATAATACATACATATGTGCATCTATTTAATTGTTTGTTTTTTATTTTTATTTTTCTAGTTGTATTTCTGTCTATATTTTCGACCTAACCCAGTATGTCGCTATGCAGCAATTGCCACTGCTGCTGGCATTAGTGTTGTTGTTACGACGCCAACTCCAAGTTTTCGACGCCTGCAATTTCTTGGTTTTGCCACTACGACTACTGCTACTGCTACTGCTACTACTACTACTACTACTACTACTACTACTACTACTACTACTACTACTACTACTACTACTACTACTACTACTACTACTACTACTACTGCTACTGCTACTGCTACTGCTACTGCTACTGCTACTGCTACTGCTACTGCTACTGCTACTACTACTACTACTACTACTACTACTATTACTCTACTACTACTACTACTACTACTACTACTACTACTACTACTACTACTACTACTACTACTACTACTACTACTACCAAACAGTATTTTACTGTTTTCTCGCCTCCTCCCTTTACCCGTCCAAAACAGGGGGAGGGGCAGGGTATGAACGACCATGCTCGTCGAAAGCCACAGCGAATCTCTGGGCCTGCAAGACATGCTAAACCCTAAACCCTAAACCCTAAACCCTAAACCCTAAACCCTAAACCCTAAACCCTAAACCCTAAACCCTAAACCCCTAAACCCCTAAACACCTAAACCCTAAACCCTAAACCCTAAACCCTAAACCCTAAACCCTAAACCCTAAACCCTAAACCCTAAACCCTAAACCCTAACCCTAAACACTAAACCCGAAACCCTAAACCCTAAACCCTAAACCCTAAACCCTAAACCCTAAACCCTAAACCCTAAACCCTAAACCCTAAACCCTAAACCCTAGCTCGGGGCATGCAAGCGCAGCGCGATCTGCGGCAAGGGCGAAGAGAGCACATTCACATCGACGATCAGGCAGCAAGGCTTCGTACGCCGCTCTGCCACGTGCTGGGTATGACTTGGTGGGACGCCGCTAGACAGGCACACTACTACTTGCTTAAGGACCCTAAACGAATAAGAACAAATGATCCCTATATTACCCTAAAAAAGGAAGAATATGTTCATGTTGTTTTTTTTTTGGGGGGGGGTTCTTAAGCAGTTAGTAGCACAGCAGCCTCGGTCGCATCTCGCCGTCAGTTGTGCATGCATACTGGACGCAACGATGCACAGCTAAGATGTCGGGGGGTTCCGCGCGCAAGAGGATGGGCTATTAGGCCCTATAAAATCCCATAATGAATCCTACAAAGGGCCTTTGGACGGATCGCCCCGAAGCGGCTCGAATGAGTCAGTGGCGGCTGAGTCTTGTTGATTGGGTGTGCTGATGATGTTTTCTAGGACCCGGAGTAGGCCCTTATTCCCTTTCGCAAGGGTTTAATTAGGTTCCCTTATAAACCCCTTTAAACCAAAAAGGGCACCCTTTCATTCCTAGGTTACCCTTGAGTCTAGTTTTGTTGCTGGGTCAGTTTGAGGACCTGATTCCTGCGGCATGTTGCCACGCAGGAAGGCCTTGTTGCATCACTGCCCGCTGCCGACGTGCGAAGCTTGTCCAGTGATCATGGGGTACAGTCAGAATTCAGGCATGGCCAGCACAGCTCAAACAGCTCAAAACAGTCACGATATGTCAAGGTTGACGCACAGAGCACAGGAGTACTGCACACTTACACGGCCTAGCAAGAGGGGAGGGTTGTCCAAAGAGAAGCCTCTCACCTCGCTGCAGCGCCGGATCACAGCGGAGAGGACTCCGAAGGCCAGGCGTGCTGCTTTTGTTTTTCAGGCTACCCTAAACCCTAAACCCTAAACCCTAAACCCTAAAAACATGCCAATGTTCTTCCTTACAAGGGCAACACAGGGATGTTCTCCATTTGGTTCCTACAAGCAAATAGTAGTCTTGCAGCAGCTCGTGGGCTTGAAGCTCTTTAGGGTTTAGGGTTTAGGGTTTAGGGTTTAGGGTTTAGGGTTTAGGGTTTAGGTTTAGGGTTTAGGGTTTAGGGTTTAGGGTTTCGGCGCAGATGCGGCTCAATTCCTTCCACAAGTTCCAAAAACGCCAAATCCTTTATAACAGACCCAAGTGAACAGCTCTCTTCAACCAGGCGCTCGGGGTTTGTGGCTTAGGGTTTAGGGTTTAGGGTTTAGGGTTTGTGTACTGTTGGGCTTGGGCTCAGCTGGGAGTCTCCGTGAGGATTGGGCGTGAGGATTGGGCGACTGAGGAGATCTTGTGTTGAGAACTGAACCTCTATAGCATTTGCACGAGCTTCCGTAGACCCGTGACCAGCGAATTGTATCAGTTCGCCCTAAACCCTGAACCTTAAACCCCAAACCCCAAACCCCAATCCCCAAACCCCAAACCCCAAACCCCAAACCCCAAACCCCAAACCCCAAACCCTAAACCCTAAACCCTAAACCCTAAGCTAACCTTAAAGCAAGCCGGAGATTCTTCTAAATGGTCCCGTCCCCGATTGCGCGTACTTAAACCCGGAGGAGCCTGTATGGCCTTTGGGCTCGTTTCCAGGGATCTTGCGCAGAGCCAAGCAACTGGGTTTAGGGTTTAGGGTTTAGGGTTTCGGGTTTCGGGTTTAGGGTTTAGGGTTTGGGGTTTCGGGTTTCGGGTTTCGGGTTTCGGGTTTGGGGTTTAGGGTTTAGGGTTATTGAGCCCCTAAACCCTCCTCAGAGGGCCCATGACTATCCTGGAATTAGGTACCCAGAAGCCATACTGTAGACAGGGTTCTTCAGGTCGACTACTACCACAGGGGACCTCTCTGGGCTCTAGACAGCAGAATCGCGCGGGTTAGTTCGTAGATGAAAGGCTCGGCGTGGCACACACTTCCGAGGGGCGTACTCTGGTCTGGCCTGTGGGGGTTTGAGAACAAGAGGGGACCCCTAATAGAGTCCCTCAAAGATTCCCTTATCATAAAGACCCCAACTGTGCTACGCATTTCGGAGCTCGGCAAACTTTTCGGGCATCCCGACAACTGTCGAAGCCAAGCAGAAGCCCACTTGCGAGTCCTTTGTACCCCTCTCTCGCGGCACTCAGGTGAGATCCTGCTGAGCTTTGTGACATGTGGTGCTGCGTTTCGCAAGAGAACCAGGTGCGAGGTTTGGAATTCAGGGCTTGAGCCTGGGTCACTTCGGCATCTGGTTCCATGGGTGTTCATCAGTGGGATCCTCAACCCAAAGCCTTGCTGGACCTGTCGGGGTTCAGGGTTTAGGGTTTAGGGTTTAGGTTTTAGGGTTTACGTTTTAGGGTTTAGGGTTTAGGCTCTAAGCTTAGCTACGCAACGGAAGCATATGGCACCATTGATCTGGGTTGCCGTGAACGCCTCTCCCGAAGCCATCAACTCTCGGGTTGAGGGTTTAGGGTTTAGGGTTAAACCCTAAACCCTAAACCCTAAGGCTCCACGGACAACTTTTGCAGGGTTTTTGTTGGGCCCAAAGGCCTGCTGATAAGAAGCGTTTTTTTGGCTATTTCGAGCCGAAGGGTATTGTTTGAAAGCAGGCTTTTAAGGGAGCACCATGCACTCATCCTCAGCTGCACACCTTGAAGAGCCACATGGGAAATACAGGGCGCCTACTTAGAGGTTCATGGGGCTGAATAACCACTTATAACTGGGCGTGTAACCCTACTGAAAATGCCCCTAAAGGGCCTTATAGGGGTTATCCCAATTATAAGTGGGGTTATAAGCCTTGCTAAATGTGGTTATCAAGTCCCATGCGCCTCCAAGTATAGAGAAGTACGAGTATGACCCCCTATATGAAGCAGGGTTTATATTACTATTGGTGAGTGTATATAAGGTTCCTTTTTTCATAAGTGTATATACTGGGTGTCCTTCTGAGGGTACAAGAGATATAAACCCTACTTCATATGGCTTCGTAAACAGCAACCCCCAATGCCGCTTCCAATCGAACAGCTCGCATGTTGCCTCCGAAGATCAAGTTTACGGGCACTTCTTGAGGTCTTGGATGTGGGTGCTGATCTAAAGGCTCTTCTGGCAAATTATTGAAGGCAAATTCTTGAAATTACTTAGGATTCCTACCGATTTACAAGGGAAGTCTAGGGTACTTTTGGGAAAACGGTGCTTTATGTTTCTGATTTTGGTCATCAGCAAGCTCTTCACTGGTCTTCTTAGCTTAGGAACTCAAGCAAAGTTACCATAGCAGGCGCTTAGGGTGATAGTAGCCCTAAATCTAGGGTCTCCATATGCATGCTGCCTGAACTTGCATGCTGCATGCCACTTTGCATGCTGCCTCAACGTTGTCTCTTTTCTCAGAGCACACAGGTCACCACACGCTTCGGCTGTGGCTTTCTCCCAGCGTCCAAGAACACGAGACTTGAGAGCATTGTCCTGTGTCTACGATTTAGAGCAAACGAGACTTGTATGCTTTGTTTTCTCGACTCAAGTCTATAATGTTCCCCTCCTTTGACCCTTCTTCTTTTTGGGGGTGGCTCGTTCCGGGCTGCAGGGTGCTTTGCACGTTGCAGAAAGCTGTGCACCATGAAGAACGCCTGGCACATTGACCTTTCTAGAGGCTTCATTTGTTTGGTGCTCCACTTCGACTCATTCACCGCGTCCCTCTGCAGTTCGGGATTGTATGAAGCACCACAAGAGGTCCTCACTGATTCTTCAGATACAGCATCACTGCAGTGGCTTAGGTTAACTCATGAACTGCGCTCCAATTGCTACTATGGCCTAGGCTCTTGCCATCGTAAACCTTCCCAGCGTAGAGCTTGGCTTGGAAAAGTGGAAGCGTGCAGTCACGATGCACGATGTGATGCACTTTCCCATTGTCCGATAGAGGGTATTTCTGTAGCAGCCACTCTGGAACACTTTGCACCTGCGATAACATAGCACGTGAGGCACGTGCGGCCTCATCTCCAGGTTCTTGGGCCGATGCTTCGCCTTGTCGGTCCTGCAAAAAAAAGCACAAGAGTATGACTTAGTAGTTCCACAGAGAAGGCTGCGCAAATGCCAAAATGCTCACCACACTTGGAACCTGATTCGGCTCCACGCTTTGCTGCTCTTCCTCTTCTCTGTCTTGCTCATCCATGGCACGCAGCAGTTCTTCACCGGCCCTCGTTGCTGGATCGACTTCTTCCAGCTCAGCATCGATGCTGCAGTTTCTGTCCTGGCAGGCCCGCGTGTCTATCCTGTAGTTTCTTATGCCAGCGACTTCACTGACAGTCCTCGTCACCCTCATCTGGTCCATGAGGGCCTTCGTCGTCTTTGTTCTTCGACTTTCTTTGAGCCTCAATTTCTTTCAGCTTGGCCTCCACTGCGTCGAGAACTGCGCGATCTAGCTTCGACGCGATCACATCGCAGGTCATCATTCTTCTTACTTTTGCACCTTTTGTTGCATTCTTCGGCATTCGGACGCCCAAAGACAAGAGAAGCTCATCCATTGCGGCAGATGTGATTTTCACGATCTCGCCCGTCTTGAACAAATAGCTGGCCAAATCGAACGCGACGGTTCCCCTGCGTAGAATTACCCCACCAACTTTCTGTTCCAAGAAAGTATCAGGCACGTGGACTGTGTATTCATACAAGGAAACCTTGGTTTTGTCAGATCAAGCCCAGACATGCAAAATGCACGCGCAGCTCACAGTGCTCAAATCGAAAGGAGAAGATTCATTGTCACCTTCGAGCACTGGAGCACGATCTCCCGAAACATGCTCCTGTGAATTCATTCACATGAGCAAGCGAAGACTTGCGTGAGTGCCAACACGGAGGTGAAAGAAGAAAAAATAATGCAGCCCAAGTCTCGGTCCATGCTTGAAAGCAAGGGCAGGAATCTTTGCAGTTGCGTCGGAGACACACTCAGTCATAGCCTTTACGTTATTGTGCATGGCAGGAACTCTGCTTTCGTCCACGGATTTTTCTGGCAGCAATCCGACGAAGTGGAATGGAAGCTCTTCCATCTCGATGGCCTTAAGCAATCTTAATTTCTGTTTCTCTACAAAAACCACAGCTCGTCATCTAAGGGAACTGCTCCTCATATTTTGTAACTTCCACTGCAGCTCCGTGTCGTGCATGACTCCTGTTGTTCTGCCCGAGCAAAGGAAGAACTCATTGTCGAGTTTGACCAAGCAGCCCCTGTCCAAGCACGAGGACACCCAGAAGTGCTTCGTGGCATCCACGGCAGTCTCGTTGTTCCTGTCCAGACAGCAAGAAAAATGACTACGTGGCACAAAAAGCACAGTGCGAAACTTCATTCACGTCCAGGGCCTGGCCCATACCTTGCACGCGTGCAACCAGTTGAAGCTGTGGTGGGTCTGACTGAAGGCCGACGTGCTCTGGAAGGGCTTGAGTATCTCTTCAACCTTCAGCTTCTTGCCTTGATGCAGGAGTAAATGAACTTGATGTATTTCTGTTCTTACTGCAATCCGAAGTTTTTCGAGTTTGCAAGACAAAAAACAAACAAATACAAGAAATATATATATATATATATATATATAGGTATTTATATATAGATATTTCTATATATATTATAATATATTATTATTATATATTCATAATATATAAGAATATTTCATAATTATAGATACTTACATATAAATATGTATATTCTTCTCAGACGTGACACTCGGTGCTGCGCTGCTGGGCGACCAGATTTTGTGTTTGAGGGCACGCACGGAGTGACCGTGCCAGTCTTCCTCTGTTAACTCCACCGTCCGTGGCGTGTCCTGGGAATCAAGAATTCTGCGCTTCAGGCCTCGTACAGCCACCGTCATCAGGCTTGAGAGGGAATCCTTAAACCCACTGCAACGCTTTGCGGCTTGCTCCATCTCCCGGAAGACATGTTCGAGGTTTGCGCTTTGCCCGAAAGGCGGAAACCATGCCTCAGCCACCTGACGTACTTCAGGCTTCGCTTCGTACTTGTTCTTCTCCATGCAGGACATAAGCTCGCGGTAGTTGAAGAAGCGAACGTGAGGGCAGTTCAGGTGCAAGGTCTTCTTGGCTTGGGCGCTCCAGCTTTCTATGTCCAGAATCATGGACCATTCCTCTTTGGCCGCTGCCAGCGTTTCTCCAATCACCATCTCGTCTGCGTGCGGGCTGGCCAACACGGCAGCTCTGCAAGGGAAAGACTGCAGATACAGCCCATATTCTTTCAGCTCGTGCGCGCATGCAAGATAAGCAAGCAGCTGCTCCACTAGAATTTCGTGCTCCACGTCGGTTCGTCGAAATGTGAAGGCCAGAACCTTGTCTACGTGTCGGACTTATAAGAACAAAAGGACGGAAAAGAAGGCACGCTCGGAGTTCCTTTTTCCCCCCCCCCCCCACACAGCATCGCGCCGCGTCTTGCACGTAAGGCAAGTAGTGTGTGTTGAGAAACACACCTTGTCGGAGACATGGTTTGCTTGTTGGCGAATTAGGAGGTCACTCAACGTCCTTCATGTGCTCACACATCTGGGAGGCAGCGTCTCGGACTGATTGTTTGAAGAGGGCGTACTGCTTTTCCCACTTTCTTTTCGAGGCGGCGGTCGTGTCGGGAAACGCTGGGCGACTTTCGGGTGAAGATTGCCACATTTTCTGCGCCGACTTGAAAACCTCTTCCTCGATGAACGTGGCTAGGACCCTCTCTCTCTTGGCAATAGCCTTTCGGACTTGCTCGGACTTCTCTTCCATTCCAAGCTGGGCCGCCATTGCCACGCTATGCTACTCCAGTATTTGAGCACTGACATTCACGCAGCACGAAGAGAAGGCAAGATGAGACGCAACTGGACTTGCTGCAACTTCTGCGAATTTAGACAGCCATGTCGCATTCTCGTTCGCCACGACTGCGGTGTCTGCTTCATGGCCGAGCGTGCAGCTGGACAGGGCATCCCAGGCCAGGGCGCGCATTGTCTTGGAGTGATGGCCCTTGTTGAACTTCAGAACCACATTGTGTAGCCCGTGCAATATCTTCGCATCTTTTTGCTTAGATGAACAGTGGAATGTGTGGAATATGAAACCATCGTAAATCATGACGCTGAGAATTGGGAAGCATGAACTAGTTTCGGCTCAAAGTCTTACCGACTCATGAACCATATTCGTCATTGCTGTCTGAAACCAGACAAGGCGCGAGCTGCACTGCAAGGTCTCGGAATGGAGCCATGAGCACTCTGGTCGATTTGAAGAGAGCGTACACACTCTCATCAAGCAGCGCCTTAGTTTGTCGGGGCTAGAAGCATTCCTGCAGTTTGGGCTTGCGTCACATGGACTAGCGGCTACTCAAGGTAAGCTGCTCTGATGCACGTGTCCAGCACTTTGTCGTACGGTTTCTCAGAGGCGTTGGTCTTGGACATGACGGCGTATGGGTTCACCCCGACCTGCAGATCACAGCTCAGTCTCGGCAATGCCCCTCTCCTCATTGACAAGACCGGAGCCTCTATGCCGGCCCAGAATATGAGAAGCAATGTTGAGGAAAACTGGCATCTCATCGAGGCAAAAGTCCAAGCACACCACCGTTTAAACTCGAAGCTCTCCGTGTGGCTCCTTTGAATTCAGTAGCAGTACCACGGCACGCGTTGTTTATGCCAGTTGCTCCGAAACATGCAGCAGAGTCTCCGAACAACCTTGCCCAGGATATCCATCGTCCTCTGGAAGTTATCCTTTTCTTCGCCACGTGTGTCAAGTCCATTCCTTAGATTTAGAACAGCAAGACAAACACTGCTTTGGAAGCCACCGCGAGCCAAGGCTCTCGATGAGAATATCTCTTTGGAACATCTCCATGAGCAAGTCCTTCGGCTGAGCCTCGGTTGTTTTTCAGTTCGGGCGTTCGGCAAAGGTTCTCTTTGTAGGTAAGCAGCTATGTTCAAGTAGCGCCGGCCGGCTTCAGCAAGCTTGTTACCCATGGCGCCGGTGTTCCAGGGCGTCCTGCGGCATCGGAAAAGCCAAGAGGTCAACGATGTCATGCCTCGCACGAGTGGGCAGCGCACAGCAGAGCGATCCTGACGCTGCAAGGCTCATCCTGAACTGCCCAGCCACGCTTCATGAGAGGAGTCGACTTCAGAACCCTTTGGCAATGCGCGTGTAGTTTGTGCCTTGGATTCTCAGACTTGTTAAGGGTCTCAGCAGGAAAGGAACGAAGCTTAAAACCTCTGAACAGTTTCGAACAAGACGCGACTCGTCGCGGTTGAGTCCCACGGCTGCACCCTTGCTAGCTAAATACTGGAACGCTGCGAACAACGGCCCGCCCTCGTCGGGCGCAAGAACCAGTCTTGTGTGCGTGTTGTGAAAGGGCACATCGAACCGTGACTCTCCGCTCACTGCGTTCACAACGAAGGCCATATCCACGCCCTCGATGACGTGATGATGACGTGTCTCGGCAACACGGTCCACCGGCTGTAGCAAGTCTTGCGGGAAGATGTCGTCGAAGTCAATGTTTACGTGCTGCAAGACGTGCATCACTGCTTTCATGTTTTCTTTCGCATCGACTCTCTCCTGCTGGATTTCGTTCAGGGCTCGCGGCCTTGATATTTTCTTGAGCAGAAACATAAGAACAACTCAAGGCCCTATCCTGGGATTTGATTTGAGTTGAGTAGCATCTTGGGGCGATGTTCTTCACTCTTGGGCTTTGCCACCAGTCGCTCAGTGCAAGAGTCGGCTACGCGGGCAGCCGCAGTCATCTTTGTGCCGGTATCCACACTGCTAGCGTGAAGATCACTCATCCTTTGCAGAGTAAGCACTGCTGCGAAGTCATTCACAGCCACGACTGGCAACCAAACCTGAGCTTGCCCGCTCGTTTTTGTTTGTTTGCGGTGACTTGCAAGTCTCCGACAAGGGGCGTCCATCTTTCCTTTGGGGCTTGCGTCACATAGGATGGAGATGCTGCGAAAACTCTGGGATTTCAGCTCCTGCGCATAGCGAACTGAAGCGTGTGACATACGTGCACGCTGCAAGGGGGCCTCTGAAACACTCTTCGTGGCGGAGACCAGATGCCGGAACACAAAGTCGGCAGTTGTCCTGAAGCGTGACAGAAATGTTAAACCACAAGTACGACACTGACATTTTCGAACGTTAGCCACAGCACGCCTCGAGTAGTGGGCAGGCTTGATGTCGTCCAGGCCCACAGACTCCAGTGTGGAATCTGCGTTGTCACTCATGAAGCCTCCCCCTCGACTCAGGAACCTTTCAACTGCCAGTTGGTTGGAGACTTTGGGTTCTCCTCTCAGCTCGCGGCCGTCCCTTGGCTGCATGTGTGAACAGCTGCACTGAAAGCATGTTGCAAATTTCACAAAATCCATATTTTTCCTTGCTACTTTTGCTGCAGGGTTTCTTTTTGGCGGGGTGTAGCAAATCCTCCGGAGCGGGCTGAGGCATTCGAGTCTTCAGTATGCTGGGTAGATGACTCTCTGCAAGTTGACCCACCCGATGCAGGAAGCGGCGTTGCAGCCGTGCATATTTGACACCGTCCTGCATCAACATCAGTAGCGTCGTATGACCCACAATCCAAGTATGCTAAACACCCAACAAACGGTCCTGAAAAGCCTCGTCGTGGGGCATTCGGAAAAGGAACCAAGCGAATACGCATAAGCGGATACCTGACATGTAAAAGGGTTAGGCTTCTATATAGGGTTTAGGGTTTAGGGTTTAGGGGTCAAGGGAGTCTTGGGGTTCTTGGGGCGAAGGTGCGGTTGGCCTGTCTGGAGCTTCCGCTGGCTCGGAGTGAGAAGCTTGTGCTGGCGCCACCTGTCCGCAAGGAAAAATGCCAGGTTCTTTATTCCTTAAAAGCAGCAGTCATGACCAGCCTCTGTGTCATCCCGCAGAAGTCCAGAAAAGTCTCAAGGCTCTCACGCTCAACACAGCCCATGCGTATCTTCAAGAGACCTCGCAAGAAACAAAATCGTCCGTTAATTTCGCTTTGTAATCTAAGACAGACAAATGACATTCAGCTTGACCCGGCAGCAAGTCCAAGTCTGCATCCGCTGGGACGCAGCAGCCAACGATGACTTCAAAAGCGAGGATCGATGCCTTCTGTAGGTCAGGCTTGCAGCCACGCACTTGCAAACCAACGCCGACCTGGCCACGAGAACGCGTAGTAGGGTTCGGTGTTTAGGGTTAAGGGTTGGTAGTTCAGGGTTAGGCCTTGATTGCAGGCATGGGACAGCAAAGATTGCACCAGCTGTTGTCATGCCGTCGAAGTTCAGTCTTAGCCGGTCTGTGTCCACGGCCGAACTCCTTCCACGGTATTCTTGCTTCCTCACGATGTGGACGGAGATGTCCAGCTTCCATGCTTTGGCCAACGTGAACCCTTGCTGGTCACCCCTGGGCTGATTCAACGTGGGAGCAGTGGCTGGGAGTCCCCCTTCCAAAAACAAATGCAAACAAGATACAATTTCGTAAACCAATTGTGGAAGGCTTGACTGCGGCCCATGACTTTCCACAGTTCTTGCGTCCTCCAGAGATACACGTAGCCTTCACAGGATTCCTCCGGAACCTTTTACAGGGTTCAGGGGCTGGGTTTTAGGGCTTAGGGTCTTCAAACGTACAAACTCGGAGAGCAACCATTGAGCCTTGTGCATCTGGAAGACTCCCTGAAAACCGTTGCGCGTTTGAAGATAAAGCAGCTCCGTGTCCACGCATCGTTTGGGCGTGCTCTGGCTTTCAGGTGACGTGCTGGGAGAGCCCGCTACATCAGCGGGCTGCTGGGTTGGTTCTTCCTGGAAGAACCGGGGCCGCACGTGCAAGCCCATCTCAGAGCATCTTTCGCGGTACTCATCCAGCGTCTCCTAAAACAAAGCAGGCATGGATCAGGGGCCAAACAAAATACCACAAAGGTCTGTCCAAAATGTCGAGGCTCCTCCCACCCAAGTTTGGAAATCTCTTGCCGGCCCAGGGATCTGCCAGCATACAGCGCCGAATCTATGAAGCTGATCTTCTCGTGAAACTTCTGTTTTAAAACAGATGCATTCTCTGGATCACTCGCAGACCTGCCGGGCGAGGCAGCACGCAATAGATTTGAGGCAGCACGCTAGCTGAGGCAGCACGCTGAAAACAGGAATCTGGGCCCAGGCACTCCAGTATTTCTTTGAGTCTCTCGGCAAGCCATGTTCGGTCGGCCATTCCTGAGCTGAGCAAGGTTGGGCTAGATTGGCTGTGTGTGCTCACCAGCCTGCCCCCCCCCCCCCCCCCCCCCCCCCCCCCCCCCCACCAAGCCCCCCCCCTCCCCCCCAAAAAAAAAAACGCAAACTGGAAATTGAGGCAGCACGCACCTAGCAAAATCGAGGCAGCACGCTCCATTTTGCTTTGGTGTAAATGGCCAGGGTGGTTTATGGGGGTTTTCCGGCCGCCAGAGATTTCAGAGTGCTGCCTCAACTTTTTGTGCCGTTACAGTGCACGCACACGGCCAGCGGCCCCCAGGCAGCTGGCACGTCTGGGCGGGAGCTAGAACGTACGCGTGCCAGGCAGCACGCAGGTAACCGAGGAAGCACGTCGCGCTCGTCGTGCGTGTGAGGCAGCACGCACCACAGCGAATAGCAAATGAGGTTTCCGTGATCCCTTTTAGTTGCACTCAAACCACTGGAATCCCGAAACAAGAGAACCGAGGGGCCAAACCTGACAGAAAAGAACCTGAACAAAGCCAAGAGTCCCCTAGCCGAGATTGCACAGCTTGCGAAAAGCACAGGATGCTAGAGTTTAGGGGCTTTGGCCTAGGGTTTTGAGTTTGGAGCTCCAGGCTGGCCGATACAGGGCCTCTAAGGGCTAGGGTGGGGGGTTTAGGGTTGAGGAGTTCAGGTTTCGCGGGCTTAGGGTTTAGGGTCTAGGGCTTATAGTTTAGTGTTCAATCCTAAACCCTAAACCCTAAAGCCTAGACCCTAAACCCTAAACCCTAAACCCTAAACTGAACCCTAAACCCTAAACCCTAAACCCTAAGCCCTAAACCCTAAACCCTAAACCCTAAACCCGAAACCCTAACCCTAAACCCTCACCCTAAACCCTAAACCCTAAACCCTTAACTTTTAAACAGCCCTAAACCCTAGACCCTAAAACCTTAAACACTAAACCAACCCTCTGTCCTATGCTGAGCATAGACGCTGCAGAAGGGGGGCGTGCATACTGGAGCCTTGTTAAGACAGGAAGCATGAGAGAACACCTGTCTGAATTCATAAAAACTGCACGGTTGAAAGAGTTCCTTTTCGGGTCCTGTGGACAGAAGTGCTCGGCCGAGCCTTTCCGGTGCACCCCCCCCCTAGTCTGAAAGCAGCAACTACTTCAGTCGCCGGCATTGAGGCGGTTTTTGCTCGGCGTGACCTGGCAAGTTTAGGGTTTAGGGTTTAGGATCTAGGGGTTAGGGTTTAGGGTCAGGGCTTAGAGGCAAGGGGCTAGGGTTGAGGGGAATCCCAGAAGGCCTGGTTGTCCTTCATAGTCTGGGCCCAAGCATCAAACATCTGCTTGCCCTTGATGCTCATCTTATTGTAGAAATCTTTGGAGTCTCCAAGATGGTCCTTCAAGGCTCCTGGAGCGTGCATACTTGGACTAGACAAGCGGACTTTCAAGAGCAAGACCGGTTTTTCAGTCAGTCCTGGCTCAGCACAGCAATCGTAGACAGTGTCTGGGGTGTACATCTGCTCTCGGATCAAAATTTGCAGCATGAGCCGAATGTCCGGCCTGATGCTAAGAGCAGCAGACAAGGTCCACTTGGAAGGTTTCTTTTAGGGGGGGACGAAAATGACAAGGCCCTCACGGCGACATATTCTCGGGCACACTCTTCAGGACACCCATGTGGAAATTGTGAATGTCATCCTTCAGGTCCTTGGCCACGCTGGACCAGAACTTGGGGGCGTCGCAGTCGTCGTCCTCCACCTTCTGCTTCTTCGGATTCTTGCCAAACTTTGCTGTGAACAAGTCCTCGTCCGAGGACTCCTGGTTTACGCCTTTGGAGGTCTCCTCATCATTGTCCTCTTCCTCGTCCTCCTCTGGCTCCTCCTCTCCTTCCTCCTGAAAGTCTTCCCGGCGCACCAGCTGGCCTGAGGAGACGCTCATTGGTTTCGATTCTTCCTCCCGGTCCCGCTTTCCCTTTCCTCCTGCACGCCGGGAATTCCTTGCACTGTTCGTTGTGCTTGTCTTCAGGCTTTTCTGAAGGTCAGACAGGGCCTCCTGCACACGTATGCATGTCTACATGTTGGAAACACGCAGACACACAGACACAGACACACAGACACAGACACACAGACACAGACACGCGCACACACACACACACTCTCTCACACACACACAGACACACACAGAGACACAGACCCACAGCCTGACGCGGACAGACACACGCAGTCTGCAACCGGGGAAAAGAAGCAGGTCCTTTTTGAGCTCGTTCATTCGGTCATGCAGCACCAAGTCCAAGGCTGCTTTCGTGGTCCTCTTTGCCCTGAGGCCCCAAAAAAGGCACTTTCCAAAAACAAACACACGAAGAAACAGAGAAGCAAGACAGCATACTTTAAGTGCAGCCTGCAGTTCTTCCGCATCAGAGCACGTACGACTTTGCAGCCATCTCGCAAGCTCGCAAGGTTGACGATGTTCACGTTGGCCAGCGTCTTGCCAGTGCCTGGGTCAGGGTTTAGGGTTTAGGGTTTAGGGTTTAGGGTTTAGGGTTTAGGGTTTAGGGTGTAGGGTGTAGGGTGTAGGGTTTAGGGAGTTCACGGCTCTGGTGCTTCAGGGCTCGAGGTCTCGTAAGGGGTAAAAGGGAGAGGGTTTAGTACTGTTGGGTTCGGGTCCTGGAACCACCCCATGGTTGAGTAGAGGCTTCCCTGCATTTCTGAGCAAGAACTCTTGAAGAACGTAGCACAGGCTACAACCCGAGCCGTAAACCCTCAACCCTCAACACCCTAAACCCTATAAGCCGAACCCCCCGAACCCTAAACCCTGTACGCGAAACCCTAAACCTGAACCCTGATCCCTGAAGCCCGAAACCATAAGCAAAGAGGTGGAGAGTTTATGGGGTGTACTGCTTGGCTTGTGTCCTCTACAGTAGATGGCAACAGCAAGATTCCTTTTGCATCTGCACAAGTCGGAAGAGACTCTGATAACCGCGCGGAACTGCCCAGCCGGGAAGCTAGTCTAGCAGATCCAGTTCACCTTGCAAGACGATTGCATACTCTGACTCCAGCCAAACACGAACTGCTTTCCAGTTCAGCTCAATCCCATTCAGGCGTGTCTCGAGAGACTCAAAGAAAGAGATTACATCTAGCATGCGCGGCACGTCATGGTGCGTGACCAGGTGTACTGGATGCTCACCATGTGCCGTGTGTTCCCAGGACGGGAGAGCAGTTGTGACCCACTCGGGACACCAAGGGTTGCTGTAGCGCAAAGAGGTTAACGCGTCCATGCAGGGCATATACAACTGTGCATCAGATCGGGGCCAACGACGGTAGCAGTAGGACTCTTTAAGCGTCTCTCTCAAGCACTCCAGCTCGAGATCAAGCCAATTCTCAATCTCAGCAATGGTTTTACCCCAGCTCAGCTTTGCACGGGCCTCCCAGATCCAGACACGGGTGTTGTCATCCATGGCAGGAGATGTAGATGTACTGCTAGCCATTGCTGGCAAAAGCACACAAGTTAACATGCGAAAAAAGCTTTACTGTTTCCACTGATCATCAGCGCATTTGAAGCTAATGAACCCAACTGCGAGAAAGCGCGTCACGAAGCAGTGCATGCACTGACCATTTGACAGACGAGAAGGAACTCTGAGAACGGAACAAAGCTGGAAGACAGTGGCGAGGCGCTGTCGCCAGAGAGCAGCAGCAAGGCTCACCTGTAGAGGCTGAGACAACGTAGCATACTACACCGCATGACATGTAAAGCAGTCACAAAACCTGCCTTTGAGTTGGCCTCGGTTTGCTGCTCCTTGTTCTTGGCTTTTTTCGCTTGCTGCAACTTGTCCGACATGATGCCTTCCTTACGTTAGCCATTGTCGAAGTGTTTTTGCTCTGCTGAGACCGGCCACCCAAAAAAGCGTGCAGAAGACAGCGTGGACAATAACGAGTCAGGATGCCATTTCGCCGCCCAAGTCCACCAGGTCGGCGATGCAGAGACACGGGGAAGCTCCGCACATGACCAACGCCAATTGGCGAACCGAAAGGTCCTCCAACTTCACCACACCCGGACCTCTTTGCAAGTCCTTAGCCTTGAGGCCAAGCCAAGCAGTGGCCTCGGAAATAACCTCGTCAGAGGACATGTCCGAGTCCGAGCAGCCATGCCCGTCCCCAGCAGCATCGCTGTCGGATGACGACGAGCTACCTTGGATAGCAAACATTGCGCCTCACTGCAGAAAGCGTACCTGCAACAGCGTGGTAATGACAAGACCACTCTGGCACCAGGTCTCTTCTTTTCTTCTTCTTCCTCTTGTCCTTGTTCGTCTTCTTTACCTCCTTTGGCGAGGCCTTCTTCTCGGTCCTATCCTTGTTCTTCTTCTTCTTCTTTCCCATGTCCTTCACCGGTCCCTTGTCATCCTCATGTCCTGGAAAGAAAACTAAAGGCGTTGGAATCATGCTTGAACTGAAAGGCACAGAGCGACCCACGAAACAGAAGCCCCAACAACCACGCCCAGTAAAGGTGAAGCGACAGAACGCTAAATTGTAAATCCCAAAAACCCAAAACCGAATACAGAAGCCCCGGAAAACGAACACGTCAAGTGCACCAGAAAGATCTGGAGTTCAAAAGAGAAAAAAAAAAGGGGTTGTTGGGAAGCTTGGAGGAAGACTTTTCGGGAGCTTCATTTATCTGGTTAAGGGTTCAGGGTTTAGGAACTGGCAAACTTAAATCAGCGGGCTGATCTGAAGGCAAAGAGTGAGCGCAGCTCACGCAAGGTCTAGGGTTGAGTGGTTCAGGGTTCACGGTGTAGGGTCGAGCGCAGTTACGCTTTAGCACCGGGGTCCGTCGAAAACCGAGGAGAGACTTCGCTGCGCGGACTTCAACAGGAAGGCCCGTGCAGCAGGAAGCTCCGACGGGTCGTCGCTCTCTTCCGGCAAGGACTTGGCTGACGTTGTCCTGATGGGGAAGAAAAATTCGGAGAATGAAACAGGGAAGTCCGTCAAATAAGGTCATAAAAAGACGCAGAAGCCCATGGTTTCTGCTTTGGAACCCTAGAAGAGTCCTGGCAAGCTGGCTGCGCTTCTTCATTGCGAAGAGGCTAGAGCAAGAAGCCCAGCAGAGGCTACATAGGCAAAAAAGACTGTGCAAGCAAAGCGCCTGAGCCAGCGAGCATGAAAGAAAAGAGCGCTTCCTGCCTTGCACCCAGGCATCAAGCAAACAGAGATTTCAGCAAAACATTGCAGCAGAGTCTGCCTGCTGCAATGTACATAAGACATTTGACAGCCGTCTCTCGGCATCACTTGCGTGGCTGCGAATGAATTGGCAAACAGCTACACGTCGGAGCCTCTGTGCAGGCCACAGACACTTCAGGAAGTACGAGAAGAGTGAAGCGCAAGAAGCTCCGAACAGAGCCGAGAATGTAAGTAGAGCTACGAATTAAACTGGGCCAGTGTGAGCCTGTGAGCATCTGACTTTGAGTTCGATGCAAAAGGAACGAGCTTGGCCGGTGATGCAGTACAAAAAAAAGTACACAACATGTTAGGGTAAAGGTCTAAAGATTTTCAAGTAAGGGTTTAGGTTTGAGCATGGTTAGGGCTTCTGGACTTTAGAGATTTCGAGCATTATCGAGAGCAACATCTCGGACCTTCAGACTCCGGCCAGAAGCGTTCATCATGCTTTGTAGCTGAAGGGACCCTAAGAGCGCACTTGCAAAGCTACACTGAGACCTAAGCGAACTCCAAGAGCCCACCCCATGTCAGACCTCGCAGACCGCGTGGTCCATAGTCAAATCCAGCACTTCATTCTCCTGGGATAGAAGAGCTATATGGTTCGCAGAGAGGCTTAGATGAGTCTGACTGACTAAGTTTGAATGGCGGCGAACATGTATGCTATTTGTCTGCGAAGTAAATAGGAAGTGTAGCAAGCATACGAACCTAGTTTGTGTGATGGGCTGTGGAAGACAAGAGTCCCAGAAGAGATCAAACAAAGGAGCGTTGGCGACCTGGGTGGCTGACAGACTGACAGCGACGGTTAACGATTAACGGACATTCCCAATCAGTGCCACAAAAGCCGTGCACAGTACACCTTGGAATGGAAACGTTCTGCGATTGCACAAGAAGAACAATAATTCAAATGCGCAAAGAGCCAAGAAACTCCCGCGCGAATATGAAAGGGAAGAACTGGCACATACTGCAAATCGTGCGCCTGCAAGACAAAGACAGGAAAGGACATGAAGCGACGTCTTCTGTGCTATGCAGGGGAAGAGACAACCATGAGCGCTGCCTGGAAGCGCAGGGGTACCGATCGTTGCAATCTGGATCTCTTGGCTGGCGTTTCGGTTACAACGACAGTGTCCAGACGATCATCAAGATCCTCGGACAATAAAACAATATCAGGGCTTGAGAGCGCGTGCGACAAAGAGAAGACATGTCCATTTCAAACACCAAGAACATATATTCTCGCAAGCTCAAAGCACCAAGGCCACGAGTTGGTGGCACAAGATGTCCAGGGACTTCGCCACATCGACCGGATTGGACACAATACGCAGTGTCCACGCAGATCTCATGAGCATCAGTCGGGCTACCTGAGCTGGTGCGGGGTGCTCTCACACTATGAACTGCCAGCGTCAAGAACATGTCTTGCTGAGAAGATGCTGCGCATGAGAAGGTTCGATTATATTCCTGACTCTGCTTCAACTTGACCGTGCCACGCCAGTAGCCCTTTCTGTAGGTGACCAGCTTCTCCGTAGCGATGACTCGAAACCTTACAAGTACAAACGCTAGTATCTTACATACAACAAGCGACAGCGCATGTTCCTCAGAACTACATTCGAGCAAGAGACGTCTTTCGAAGAATTTCTGAATGCGACATCCAAGCCATAGAAATAATCAGCCAGCGGTCAGAGCCCACGAGCTGAGTCGGCTTCCTGTGCTGCGACAATAGCGATGCACACTTCAGAAGAAAAGAACGAACATCTACCATGGTATGTGCAGGCCAGAATCTTGGACCGGGTAGCAAAAGAACCTTGATCCAAGATGCTCCGAATGAAGTTCAGGTACGCCACCGCAGCCTTTCCAACAACTGAACTGGCAGCATATTTTCAACGAACATCAACCCCATCATCATGCAAAACGTGGTCCTTCAGAGCAGCATATTTGAAGAGCAGCGACTGACGAGGTTGCTCAATCATCTGCCGGACTCCAAGGTACTCACAGAAGTAGCACAGTTCAGCCTCGAAGTCCTGAGCCGAGCACAGAAAAAACAGTTGAACAACTCATGGCAACACACTGGAGCGAAATTAGAATGCATCCAATAATGAAGCCAGAAGCAGCCATGGCATTGCCTGCCCGAACACAAGCTCGAGATATATCGCCAGCGATGTCTTTGTTGCGCTTCCTTAAATGTTTTGGAAGTACAGAACGCAATTCCAGCGCACAAGCTTTCGCACAAAGGTTGGGGCCAAGACTCGTCACAGAGAGCGGAGCTAGGACCCAGCTGCTACAGCATATGCCACTCCATCGCAGACCGCCTTGCTTCACCCTGCTCACCAGACGAATACCTAAGTTAGCAAGCCTGAAGAAGTACATTCTTCGAACAAACAAAAACACACGATGATTGCATATGGGGAACAGAGCCCTTGGCCAGCACGGCTCAAAATATCCATGTGCTTGCCCTGGCTGATATCGTAGCCAACAGCGACAAAGCCAGCCTGGCAACCACCCAGCCAAGAAAACTCATGCGCCAGATTGGTGGCACAAATCTGGGGCAGAATTATGCTGCAGTAGACGTGCAAATTGCACAGGCCTGATTCGCGAAATCGGTCAGCCGGCCAGCGCCACAGTACAGCTCAGCCAAATCATAGATTCTCTCCGGGTGATCAGGACGAAGCCAGCTGCGCTCCAAACAGTCCGGAGCATATTCGGCCACAAGCTCGACAAAACCAGGCGAAAGCTGAGAAAATGGATCCATGAGCAACAGGGCCGTCTGACCCAGGAGTGGGACTTAAAGTGCTGTCAGACACACAACATAAATAGCGTGGGATGCTGGAAGAAGCTGAGATGGAAGTCACGACGAAAACAAGAAGCAATATAACACTTCTGTAAGCACAGGAATGTCTGTGGATGTCTTGGGACGAATGAAGCTTTTGAGGCAGCACGATGACTGCCATGGAGCACGCATCTTGAGGTAGAATGGTTAGGGAAACCCTAGACTAAACCCTAAACCCCAAACCCCAAACCCCAAACCCTAAACCCTAGACCCTCGACCCCAGACCCGTCGACCCTAAGCCCAGTCCAGGACACGGAGCTGGCTTTGTCGTCCTTCGTACTGCCTCAGGTGCCTGACTGGATTAATCCCCTCCCCCTAACATTAAACCCCCCCCCCTACCCCCTAATACTAAAAACCCCCCAATATACTGTAATTTAACTGTAATGGGGGGTATTTAATATCCCCCTAATACTAAAAACCCCCCATTACAGTTATATTACAGTATCTTGGGGGGGGTTTTAGTATTAGGGGGTAGGGGGGGGGTTTAATATTAGGGGGAGGGGATTATGCCCTGGGGTGTGAAGCTCGTCTCTAATGGCAGTTTAGGGTTTAGGGTTTTTTTTAGGGGTTTTGGGGGCTTAGGGTTTAGGGTTTAGGGTTTAGGTTTTTTTTTAGGGGTTTGGGAGGCTTAGGGTTTAGGGTTGTAGGGTTGTAGGGTTTAGGGTTGTAGGGTTTAGGGTTTAGGGTTGTAGGGTTGTAGGGTGGTAGGGTTGTAGGCTTGTAGGGTTGTAGGGTTGTAGGGTTGTAGGGTGGTAGGGTGGTAGGGTTGTAGGGTTGTAGGGTTGTAGGGTTGTAGGGTTGTAGGGTTGTAGGGTTGTAGGGTTTGGGTTTAGGGGTTTAGGGGTTTAGGGTTTAAAGGTCTAGGGTTTCAGGGTGTTTCTGGGTCATAAGCCTAAAAGTACAGCTTGGCTTGTTGGAGCTTGGGCGGGGTCGAGTGTTACAGCCTCTAGAGCTCAATGTTTTTCGTCGATGTTGCAGATCCGCATCTGTGACTTAAAGGTGGGTTTAGGGTTTAGGGTTTAGGGTTTAGGGTAGCCGTCATATTCGCGGAACTACATTTTAGGATGTAGATGCAGATATAGAACCGGAGAAGATCGTAAATACAGATCAGGCAAAGACATCTCGCCCGCTATGACTTGCCGGCGAAGCACTGTATGCTGAAGGAAGTCACATCGATATCAGAGACACACATGTGCACTTGTTTTGCAGGTAACTGTGAATCATATCACTTACCCTTCAAGTTAATACGATTGTGTACTTGAGCGTTGTGAAAGGGATGATGCACCATGCAACCCTGAGTTCATGCGCCTCGCAATCTTCATGCCACTACATGGTATGAGATGATTTTCAAGTGCTTGCTTTCGTGGACCCGAAAGATTAAACCCTTAACCGAAATCCTGAACCCTAACACCGCGCTGGGCGCACGCGATGCTCTCCAGGGCGTCAGCGTCGCGGACCTTGAGTACCGCCCGGAGTTCATCTATCCAGATGGCTCTGTTCCCAGCTGTGGCCCAACAGGGCTTAGGGCTTTAGGGTTATAGGGTTTAGGGTTTTAGCGTTTAAGGTTTAAGAGTCTTAGGGTTGAAAAGGTTCGGGACACTTGGCTCCACTTTTCAGATAGCAAGGAAGTGTCACTGTTGACTCCAAATACCGCGCTAACTTTATGCGTAATGGGGTTTTCGGGTTTAGGGTTTTAGGGTCTTACGGTTTGAGGGTTCAGGGTTGTTTTAGCGTTTTGGGTTTGGGGGTTGGAGGTTTTTGGGGTTTTCTGGTTTTAGGGTTTTTCATACGTTGTCCATACAGGGCTTAGGCACGCTTCTAGGATGATGTTTCAGAGAGCTGAAAGCGGCCCTAGTTCTTTCTCTCCAAATTCGCCCAAGTGTGTGGCAGGCGACGTCTCTCAGGGTTTAGGGTTTAGGGTTTAGGGTTTAGGGCAGGAGTTCAGGGTGTTGCTTCAGTCCCTTTTGGTCATCTTGCTTAGTATCACCAGCAGCACATCCCAGAGCGCGAGCCGTTGGCAGTTGCCATGGCAAAGCAGTGTCTCATCAAGGGGGTTCATGAGTTTAGGGTTTATATAGGGTTTAGGGTTTAGGGTTTTGGGTTCAGGATTTAGGGAGTACTCGTAAGGATTAAGTAGGGTTAGAAGTACCCTAAGATTAGTATCACAGCGACCCTACTTGTCGTCCGACTTGTACATGCCCACGAACCTCCAAGCATACCGTTAGTCATGTTAATATTCTTCAATATTTTCAACACGTACATTGAGTAGGATTTCACTACATGAATTCCATTGATTCTGTTGAAATATGGTGTTAACTACAAAAATGCCCTAAACCCTAAACCCTGAACCCTAAACCCTCAACCCTAAACCTATGTGTTGACTACAAAAATGCGCCCAGGCTCAAGCTACACCGGGCAATGGAACAAGAGCAAGCGGGAAGGAGACGGCATTCAGGCCGCGCTTGATGCAACTAGTGGTGTAAGAGGCAGCCTCTAGGGTTTAGGGTTTAGGGCTTAGGGCTTAGGGTTTAGGGTCTAGGGTTTAGGGTTTAGGGTTTAGGCTGCCAGCGACTCACTGTAGCCAGTGCAAGCGTCTCCAGATGTAGGGCCTCAACCCCACACCCTGTAGCTACAAGCCCGACACAACCCCTACAAACCCCTCTGAACCCCAAACCCTAAACCCCAAACCCTGAACCCGGAACCCTAAACCCTAAACCCTAAACCCCAAACCCTAAACCCTAAACCCTAAACCCTAAACCCTAAACCCCAAGCCCTAAGCCCTAAGCCCTAAACCCTAAACCCTAAACCCTAAACCCTATAAGCCCCAAACAACCCTCGGAGGTTTGGAAGGATGGAGAGCGGTACTCGGGTGGCTGGGTCGCCGACCTCTTTCACGGAAAGGGGAGGTGCCCCCCCATCGCCTTTGAGTCGGGGGTTTAGGTTTAGGGTTTAGGGTTTAGGGTTTAGGGTTTAGGGTTTAGGGTTTAGGGTTTAGGGTTTAGGGTTTAGGGTTTAGGGTTTAGGGTTTAGGGTTTAGGGTTTAGGGTTTAGGGTTTAGGGTGTAGGGTGTAGGGGTGTAGGGGTGTAGGGGTGTAGGGGTGTAGGGGTGTAGGGGTTAGGGTTTAGGGTTTAGGGTTTAGGGTTTAACCAAAAAGGGCACCCTCTTTCTTCCTGGGTGACTCTTGCCTCGTCGAGTTCTTCCTGTGCAAGTAGCCCTAAGCCCAAAGCCCTAAACCCAAAACTCTCTGATCGCAAGACTTCCGGACACACGAGGCGGGCTTGTTTTCAGGGTATACCGGGCGAAGGTTAGACAAGCCATCGTGTGCAAGCGACCCCTGATGTGAAAATAATTAGGGTTCAGGGCTTGGGGTTTAGGGTTTAGGGTTTTGGGTTTAGGGTAAAACCTAGGCCCAGACTCTATCAACCCTAAATCCGCACCTCATAGAGAACCCTATAAACCATGACCTCCCTAAAACCTACACCCTAAACTCCAGAAGCCCTATAGCCCTACAACCCTAAACCCTATAAAAGTCGGAAAGCCCATGTAAGCCCTAAACCCTAAACCCTAATCCCTAAACCCTAAACCCCATTGCAGCCTTAAACCCTATAAGGTGGAGGCTTTCTTGGTGCGTCATGGATCACAGCGTGGGCGGAGTTCTGCCACGTGTGAGGTTGACCTTGAACTACAATCAGGAAGCCCCGTCTAGGGCTTTAGGGTTTAGGGTTTACCCTAAACCCTAAACCCTAAGCCCTAAACCCTAAACCCTAAACCCTGACCTTAAGCCGGCTTAGTAATGCTCTTCGGACTTCGGGTTTAGGGTTTATCGCTTGTGCTCTCGACGGCCCGTCTGCATCAGGACAGCCCAAACGGGGCCGCCAGCCAGTTCAGGACCTCGCCTTCGAGTAAGTTAGCCATCACAAGGGTCGCTTCTTGCTCACGTTTGGCCCTAAACCCTAAACTTTAAACCCTAAACCCGGCCTAAACCCAAAAGCCTAAAGCCTAAACCCTAAACCCTAAGCCCTAAACCCTAAGCCCTAAGCCCTAAGCCCTAAACCGTCGTGTGGCCAGGTTTGAGCACCAGAACGGGGATTTCTACGAGGGCGATTTTGTGGCAGGCGCAGCCCATGGCAAAGGCAGGAGCCGGTTAGGGTTTAGGGTTTAGGGTTTAGGGTTTAGGGTTTAGGGTTTAGGGTTTAGGGATTAGGGTTTAGGGTTTAGGGTTTAGGGCTTACATGGGCTTTCCGACTTTTATAGGGTTTAGGGTTTAGGGTCATTTAGGATTCTAGTGGGGTGTCAGAATTGATTCATTATTCGTAGTGTTATCATTATTGTTATTTTATTTTCTTTTGTGGGGGGGGGGGGGGGGGGGGGGGGAGACTTGTCAGTAGTGTTGTTGGGTAGAGTTGACGCTTCCCCGTTTTTGTGGGGGTTGGGGGTTGAAGATGGTGAGGAAGTTGGCCCGGGTTACTCCTCCTCAACCCCAAAAACCCTAAACCCCAAACCCTAAACCCTAAACTCTAAACCCTAAACCCCAAACCCTAAACCCTAAACCCTAAACCCCAAACCCCAAATCCCAAACCCTAAACCTACACTCCCTAAACGATAGGCACGATAAGGCTGGAGAGCCAACACCCTCATGGAGCCCCCAGGCCATCCGAAGCCCGTTAGGGAAAAGGGTTTAGGGTTTAGGGTTTAGGGTTTGGGGTTTAGGGTTTAGGGTTTAGGGTTTAGGGTTTAGGGTTCGGGTTTAGGGTAGTAAGGCGCCCCTTGCAAAGCTCTCAAAGTCTCATAAACCCCCACCACTGGCGAGGCACGTACCAGCAAGTGGGGGGCGCCATCTACACTGGCGAGTGGCAGCAGGACTTGCAAAACCCAGACATTCTGGGGTTTAGGGTTTGGGGTCTAGGGTTTAGGGTTTAGGGTTTAGGGTTTAGGGTTTGGGGTCCAGGGTTTAAGGTTTAGGGTTTAGGGTTTAGGTGAAGCTGGTTTAGGGTTTAGGTGAAGCTAGAGGGCAACCTAGTATGAGGGGATGGGCGAACCCGAACCCCGATCCCGAATCCCCCGGCATCCCAGCACCGAAAGCCACTGAAGGCACTGAACCCTAAGCCCTAAGCCCTAAGCCCTGAACCCCAAACCCTACCCTAAACCCGCCCTCAAGCTCAGAAAGCCCGACGTTCTGCCCAACCCTGGAGTTTTCTTGCCAAACCCTCAATCTAAGCTTAAACTACTACTTGCTTAAGACCCCCCCCCCCAAAAAAAAAAAAGAACATGTAATCTCCTTACTTATGTGGGCAATATGGCGATTTTTTTTTTTTTTTGGGGGGGGGGGGGTGTTCTTAGCAAAACCCTGGGCCCTTGGTGTGTTCCCTTACCCTTGTTTATTCGGCCCATGGTAGTATACAGTTTAAGGCTCATTAACAAGGGACCCAAGATACTTGGAACCCCAGAATCACAGCCCCTCTGCAGCTGCGCACACCCTGCGCTGCAATGGAGTGCCAGAGAGGATCAGAAGCATGGCTTTGGGGAGGAGGTCTGGCCAGATGGGACCAGGCCAAGATGCTTCGTAGCTGAGTAGGTAACCTCTAACCTTTTGGGATACATATATATATATATATACAGAGTCCTATACCAGAATTGAAAGGTTTAGCTGTTTCGGCCCAGGGTGCCCAGCAACTGGGGGAAGGGGCCTAAAAGTGGAGTCTGAATTTGTGGAACAAGCAAAGTTGTTACATGTTTGAAGGGCCCCTGAGGAGAGATTTCAAGGATACACAACAAGATCATTACTAGGGCGTTTTCAAGGTTAGGCTTCAGGGTTGAAGGATGTAAGTTTAGGCTTTGGGGGGGGGGGGGTGGGGTTGGAGCTTATGGGTTGCACTAGGATTGCGGCGTTGAGACGGGGTCCGTATCGAAGTGTTGTAGAGGGAAGGGTCGGGCTTAAGCGGAACTACCGTGCCATCCACCCTTCACCTGTTATTGCTGTGTAAAACGCATACGTGCCGAGTCACTATTGACAGATGCCGTGGGTTTCTGGCTGAGGGGTGGAAACCTTCAACCCCAAACCCTAAACCTTTGAACAACCTTAAGCTCTTAAGGCCTTCTGAATGAAAGGTATGCTGGGAACTGCGAGTTTAGGGTTTTTTAGGGTTTTTCGGGTTTTCAGGGTTTTTTGGGTTTTTAAGGATTTTAGGGTTTAGTTTAATGAAAGGTATGCTGGGAACTACGAGATGGGCGAGAAGTCTGGCCACGGCGAGCTGACATGGGCGGATGGGTGGCTGTCCCAGCCCAGGGTGTGAACTCGATGAGCTAGTCATGAAGGATTTAGGGTTCAGGGTTTAGGGCTTAGGGTTTAGGGTTTAGGGTTTAGGGCTAGGGCTCCAGTTGCTACGACCTGGACCTGGAAAAAGGTCAGATTGTGCTTTGGCTGCGAGTCCACATGGCCTGCAGCAGGTGGCAACTACAGTTGTTTATAACCACCGCTTACTTGAAACCCCTGTGTGAAGCCTAACCATGCGCTCGGAAGCCAGCTCGTTGACATGTGTTGCACAGTTGCTATAGCGCCATCTATCTCTTCAAAACCCTAAACCCTAAGCCCTTAACCCTTAACCCTTAAACCCTTAAACCCTAAACCTTTCCTAGACTCCTCCGGGACGGAAGCTGCTAGTACAGCTGCTAGCTGCGGGGCAGGTTTGTTGAGCCCCATCGTTCGGCATGTGGCATCAACAGTAGTTGGGAATTTGGGGCAGGGGCTGGGACAGCGATCCTGCTCCCATCATCCTGCAAATAAGTCCCAGCCTTCTGATGAGAGTAGCTGATTTCATGAACCCAGTCAGTCGACATCTTGCCTCCCGCCTTGCAGCTTTGTCAGCTTCACACTAGCCCTGAGGCTCAATAAGGACTCCTATTCTAGGTTTTTTGGGCCCAAAGGCCTTCTTACATAGGGTGTTCGCTAGTTGAGCCTAAGGGGAATTGAGGATTCTTATGATTTCAAGAAGTGCAAGAAACACTGGGTCTCCCCATGATAGCAAGGGCTAGCCAAAGTGTTGGGAACACCCTAAACCCTAAACCCCAATCAGCCCTCGTGTTCGGGGGAGAACACAAGGTCCTCCTACCGTGGTGGCTTCCTGAGGAAGCAAATCCATGGAGAAGGCGAATTAACCAGTAGACGTTTTTGTTGTTTTGATCTTTTGGAGGGGGAGGGGGGGGGGGGGAGACTCGGGGTTCTGGGTTTAGTAGAAGGGCTCTTCAGTTGGCAGGAGCTCAACCTGCAATGGACACCCCTTGGGTTCCCCCAAGAATTGGTTTAGTTTTGTTGTTTTTGTGTGTGTGTGTGTGTGTGTGTGTGTGTGTTGGGGGGGGGGGGGGGGGCAACTAGTAGGCCAGTGCATCTCACTCCCCCACCGCAGACGCCAGGCGAGTATGTTTGGGCGGACGGACGACGCTTTAACGGAGAGCCCTTGCCTCAATCTTGGCTGGCCTTGATATCCCCCGCGTTTTTTTTGGGGGTGGGGGGGACAGAGGGCAATATCTATATGATTTGTATACATATATATGTATATTTATATGTACTGATTTATGTATTTAAAAATATGTATAAAGAAAAACATACATATAGGACATATATATATATATATACATACTACATATATTATGTACATACATATGCATATACAAATCTATACATATATATATATACATATATATATATACACATGTATATATGTATGTTATCGCTATGTACACACGTACATACATACACATGTCCACTGTACGTTATGCATAACTGCGATAGCAGATAGACCGGTAGATACTTGAAGGTTCATGGTACTTGTAAGGGGTCTAAAAGTACCCTAAATGAGGGTCAGAGGCATAATTGCCCTGCTTATAGCCCTTCTTGTGGCTACACACGAACCTACAAGTAGTGGGGGGGAGCAAGACAACCCCAAACCCCAAACACCCTAAACCCCAAACACCGTACACCCCAAACACCCCCAACCCCCCAAACACCCTAAACCCCCAACACCCTAAACCCCAAACACCCTAAACCCTCAACCTAAACTCCAAACACCCTAAACCCTATACCTAAACTCCAAACACCCTAAGCCCCAAACACCCTCAACCCCAAATACCTAAGTTGTAAAAAAACTCTAAACCCTAAACCCTAAACCCTAAACCCTAAACCCTAAACCCTAAACAGAGGCACGGCCTAGTTGAACAGAGCCGCTTCGTGACGAGAGCCCCAGCTCGGAGCATCCCTGAGGTGGGTGGCAAACCAGATGCATGGTACAGGCCGGACGTAGGGTTCAGGGTTTAGGGTTTAGGGTTTAGGGTTTAGGGTTTAGGGTTTAGGGCCTTTGGGTTTAGGGCCTTTGGGTTTAGGGTTTAGGGTTTAGGGTTTAGGGTTTAGGGTTTAGGGCCTTTGGGTTTAGGGCCTTTGGGTTTAGGGTTTAGGGTTTAGGGCCTTTGGGTTTAGGGTTTAGGGTTTAGGGCCTTTGGGTTTAGGGTTTAGGGTTTAGGGTTTCGGGCCTTGGGTTTATGGGTTTAGGGTTTATGGGTTTGCATGTGTTGATGCCAAGTTCTTGGGCAACCCTTAGGACTTCTCAAGGATGGGGGGTCCCGTTCCCACACGAACCTGACTCTAGCTCTAGCTAAGGAGGCGTGGGGGGGACCCCACCCTCGAGGGGCGTGTTATCTTTCAAGCCTATTCGGTATTGCGTGGACGCCAACCAAACCCTAAACCCGAAACCCTAAACCCTAAACCCGAAGCCTACACCCTAAACCCTAAACCCTAAACCCTAAAGCCTCACCACCAAGCAGGCACGTTCACTTGGCCGGACGGCCGCTCCTATGAGGGCGAGTTTTGCTCTCAGAGTTGTCTTTTTTTCTCGGCCACAGGGTGTGTGTGTATACATATATACACATATATTCATATGTATGTATGTATGTATGTATGTATGTATGTGTGTATGTATGTATGTATTTATGTATCATGTCCATATATGTATAACATATATATATATATATGTATGTGTGTACGGGAAGAGAGCTCGGACATGAAGACCTGTTAGGACTCCAGGGTGCTTGCACTGCTGCGCAAGCGAAAGTCCCCCGAGTTGTTCGCGGCCATTCATATCGAGAACCCCCCCCCAACCCCCCCCCCCCTCTCCCCGGGCCCCAACGAAAAGGAATTATTATCATCAACCCCCTAAACTTTATCAGCAGACCCTAAACCCTAAACCCTTAAATGACCAAGGTATTGCTATGACAAGAAGCATGGAGAAGGAACCTTCCAATGGTCCGACGGTCGGAGGCCGCAGGGCTAAGCTACGATTCCCAAAGATGCCCTTGCCCTAAACCCTAGAACCCTAAACCCTAAACCCTAAACTCCCAAAACCCTAAACCCCAAACCCTAAACCCTAAACCCGCAGAGAGCTGAGAGCTAAGCTGAGCCCTTAAGCCTTCCACACAAGGGCCGCGAAAGGCCTTCACCATCTGGTAAGTCTCAAGAAGGCGTCAGTCTCATGGTTTAGGGTTTAGGGTTTAGGGCTGGGGGTTTAGGGTTAGTCTCAAAAGGCGTCTCTCACATTTATTAATGGGTGCGCAGAAAATCAGCAGCCTGAAAACTACGCACTTCATCCAGGGTCCTGTCGCCCGGAAGGAACAGCGGGATGTTTCTCACTGTTTCGGAAGTTGCTGGTTCAGGGATTTGAAGTCTTGGGGGAGCATCTAGCATTTGTGTGGTGCTTTGCGCGGTTTGTGTAAGGCAGCTGGCCGTTTCTCTTCAGCTTCTTGTTACAAGAGAGCTGAAGCAGAGTGCTAGGACCTAAGCCCTACATTATCCTATGCTTTGTTGTTCATTTCAGGCCAGCTTAACGAGGCCATGACCCCAAACCCCACGTATACTTAAATACATCATACAAACGAAAGCGAGAGAGAGACATGGGTTTAGGGTGGGTTATGGGAGAGGATGGGGCCATTCATGAAGCCCGAAAGTTCTGGAACAACAGCTTGAGTAGGAAGCACACACGCATTCCCCAAGCCCTCAATCAAACCTAAACCCTAAAACCCCTCAACCCTGCCACAGGTACATAGGCCAGTGGAAAGATGGCCAGCAGAACGGCCGGGGAGTGTTCCGGAAGGCCGACGGCCGCGTCCCAAGGAAAGGAATGTTTGGGGTTTCGGGTTTGGCTCTAGGGGTTATGAGAGTTTCCGGAACCATGAACGAAGAACCAATCTGACCCTAAACCCTGAGCCTGTGTTCCTTAAGCCTATAGGCCCTCAGCAGCCTGCATCATTACAGCCTACGCCTAAAGTCTACACCTTTCTTGAGATTGAGGATGTCGTGCTTTCGGGTCTAGATTTTTGTTGGGAGGTTTGAGGTTGTGTACGTAATGTTGTACCTGCTTTAGTGTTGGGCCCCCCCCTCCCCTGTTGTTGTCCCTGTTGCACGGTCCACGGGATTTATATGAAAGTAATAGAAGGGAGTTCAGATGTGGTTAAAAGGGGCAGCGATGCCCGGCAATCTTTTTTAAAGGTGCGCCACGCGGGAATTTTCACAAGGCACCCGGACGATTTGACTTTATTGAGGATCCCAACGCGCGTCCTCAAACAGTCAGGGTGTCCTGAATAGCCCGGCCAATATGACTTGATGGAGGGGGCCCGCACTAAACCAGGTACAACATTAGGGACTGGGGTTTGTTGCATGCGTGGGTTTCGTAGTTTTGGCCCATATAGCGTAGAAAAGAAGGAAGCGTAGCTTACAGTAGGTATTGCTAGATTTTTTGTTTGTTTGGGGGGGGGGGGTATGTATGTATGTATGTATGTATGTATGTATGTATGTATGTATGTATGTATCTATGTATATATATATATATGTAAACATGTATGTAGGATAGTCCCGGCAGACCCTGAAACCTGTAGTGGCTCGTAGTGGATCGGTGTCAGAGCTGTGCTTCTAGCAATAAGGGCACAAGGTCTGCGACTCCATCAGAACTGACGGCGTTAAGTTTTCCGTCCGGAGCAGGCTAAACCCTAAACCCTAAACCCTAAACCCTAAACCCTAAACCCTAAACCCTAAACCCTAAACCCTAAACCCTAAACCCTAAACCCTAAACCCTAAACCCTAAACCCTAAACCCTAAACCCTAAACCCTAAACCCTAAACCCAAGCATGCCGCCAAGGTTCAGAGGAGGACGGCGTCTGGGCGGATGGCAAACTAACAAGAAAGTCGACCAACCTCTGATGCGATGCCATCTTCACATGCTGGTTTCCGATCTTGGGGGTACCTGATTGGGGTCCTTATCAGAAGTGAATCCTACTATTTGGGGTTTAGATTTTCGGCGTCCCCTATTGTCGGAAACCCAAGATCGCACGTGGTCAGAATCTCCTCATCCCGGAGCCGTGTACCATGAACCTCACCAGGTACTGCAATCGATTCAACACACGCCTAGGAACAAGCAGCTTTTTTGTTGAAATTTCGAACACTTGCGTTCGCGTGTCCACAGCTTCAGACAGTGACAGGACGTTGCTGAGCAAGGGTCCTGCACTTCGGTGTCAGTTTGTGGGTTAGGGTTTAGGGTTTAGGGTTTAGGGTTTAGGGTTGAGGGTTTAGGGTTTAGGGTTTAGGGTTTAGGGTTTAGGGTTTAGAGGGGTTGGGAAGCCCACAGCTGCTCCATACGAGCTGAAGATGCCTGCCTGGCTTTCTTCTTGGGTTTTGCGCTGCTTCCCCCTGTCTCCTCCATAAAGCCAATGCTTGTCGAATATTGGGGGCCTGAATATCTAGAATAGAGCCTCGGGGGGTTCTATGGTACAAGTGTAAAGGATCATAAGGGAATTCTGTTCGTAATTGTTCCGCCCCCTCTATTCGGCTAAGTTTGGGGTTCTTTTTCGGTTTTTTTTTTTCAGGTATCGGGCCTCCAGCATTCTGACTCGACAACGTGGTAGTTCCCACAGCGACGGCAGATGACGTGTCTGCATTCGAGCACTTGTTGTTGTACATGCATGAGGCTCATCTGATGTATGTAGGGAGATACAACATGCACTGTTTGGATACTCGTAGGTCAGAGTGGGTGCTCTTGCATCGAACTATAACCTTAAACCCTAAACCCTAAACCCAAAACCCAAAACCCAAAACCCGCACGAGCTCCTGGACCTGCTAAGCTACTTCTTCATGCCATCATGCGTACCACTCGAGCACGTGTGAACAAGCAAAGGCCTTTTTGCCGTGAAACGCTGCACATGGTTTCGGGATAATATTTGTATTTAAGGTTCTAAGGGGAGTATATAGGCAGTTCCTGACCAAGATGAAGAACTTAGTAGTAGAGTAGGTAACCTTTAACCTTTGTAGTAAAATCCCCTTCGCATCCCAAAGGTTAACCTTGAAAATCACCAGGTTACCGGACAACTAAGGTTTCGGGAAGAAGGGCCCTTCTGTAATGTCATAAGCATGTTGTTCTCGCTAGATGGTGGAGCTTACATGCGGAAGCAAGCTTGCAAGCGCATGGCGTGTTCCCACACCACTAGTTCTGCTGTTTTGTTGCTGTGAGTCGGGTCTCCAGGTCAGGCTGGCATGCAGGCTTCCAGGTCGTTGTAGGTGTGACGCCAGGGTTTATGTCTTAGGTTAATGTCCTAGGGGCTTCAAGAAGAGGAGACAATCCGGCAGCGCCTCGTGGAGGGCCCGTCGAGTGCTGGCAGGTAGCGCAGCGGATGCCATGTCGACTGTCCTTTGAAAGGGCCGAAGTCGAGGCGTTCAGTTGAGATGAAGATACGATGAAGATGCGTGTTGGTGCGTGCAAGAAGGCGCCTGCACCAATTGCATTGCATTTTAGGGGTCGGGGCTGGAATTGCCCTGCTAAAGCATTCGGTTTGAGACAACCCTCAACTCTGAACCCTAAACCCTAAACCCTAGCCCTAAACCCTAAACCCTATACTTTATCCTCACACCCTTACCCCTAAACCCTCAAACCTGCTCCGCAGTTCTCGCCCTCCCTGTCTCGCAGTTGGCTCACAAGTGGGGCAGGGCCACGATCCCTCGGTCCATGTTCCGCCTGCGTCTCGTGCCTTTGCCCAATCTGTAGGTTGTTGTGGGGGGGGGGGGGTACAGTGGTTTTCGGGTTTAGGGGTTTGGGTGTAGGGTGTTGGGGTTTCGGGTTTAGGGGGAGAACTCACCTAGACCGACTTCATCCTTCATTCAGTAAAGTTTCTCAAGCATTAAACCCTAAACCCTAAACCCTAAACCCTAAAGCGCGGCACATTGCCAAGGAGGGACGCTGAAACGAAGTTCACCGTCATGCCGTGGCAGGGGATCCAAGCTTGTGGAGGGGTTAGGGTTTGGGGTTAGGGTTTAGGGTTTAGGGTTTAGGGTTTAGGGTTTAGGGTTTAGGGTTTAGGGTTAGGGTTTAGGGTTTAGGGTTTAGGGTTTAGGGTTTAGGGTTTAGGGTTTAGGGTTTAGGGTTTAGGGTTTAGGGTTTAGGGTTTAGGGTTTTGGCTTCTGTAGGTCAACAGGTTTGGTGTTTAGGGTACTCAGATAGACCCTCGAGATTCTGAGGGGCTGCGTCTCCAGGTTTCTCTACAAGGTTGAAACCACTTGCTACTATTTGCTTAAGAACCACCCCCCCCCCACCCAATAAAAGAAAAAATAATAAAATAAATCCATAGAAAACAGTAGTCCTTGTATTGCCCTTTTCAGGAAGAGTATTTCTTAATTTTATGTCCCTAAACCCTAAACCCTAAACCCTAAACCCTAAACCCTAAACCCTAAACCCTAAACCCTAAACCCTAAACCCTAAACCCTAAACCCTAAACCCTAAACCCTAAACCTCTTAAGCAAATAGTGGCTCGTGGAACCCATGGGGTCCATCGAAGCATGCCCCTGGCAACCCTAGCATGCTCCCGCCGCGGCCACAAGCAGAACTTGTGGTTTAGGGTTTAGGGATAGGGGTTTAGGGTTTAGGGTTTAGGGTTTAGGGTTTAGGGTTTAGGGTTTAGGGTTTAGGGTTTAGGGTTTAGGGTTTAGGGTTTAGGGTTTAGGGTTTAGGGTTTAGGGTTTAGTTGACGGTGTATTTAACAAACAACACATTGATTAGGGGGTTTGAGTACGTATATATGGGGGTTTACGAAAATAGGGGACCTCCAATATAGATCCCCACACAGTAGGATCCCCTTGTAATCAGGACCCCAATAAGGTACCCCTAGTTTCGGCAACCCACATACATAACCTATTCCAAGCAAAGACTGCTCGCGTACGTCAATCAACGCCTGAATCCTTCTGATTCGGGGTTTGGGGTTTAGGGCTTAGGGTTTAGGCTTATGCTTTAGGGTTTAGGGCCAGTTTAAGGTGTCGCAGTGCACCCCTGACGCCTGAAGCACTGAACCCCAAAGCCGAAGCCCAGAACAAAAGTCAATAAGAAGCCCTCTTCTTTTGGGGGCTTTTCCGGGCGTTTACAAGTACCTGGATTTTGGAGTACCATACTTTAATGTTTTTTTGGTCCTGGGCTCCTACTAATAAAAAAGATATACTTGTTTTCCAGGGTCTACTCCACAGTAGGGGTACGTTCCCTAACCCTGAACCCCTTAGTAGCCCCAGAGCCCATCTAAGTGAACTCTAATTTCATTGGCGTTTCGGAACCCCAATGGTTGGGGTCAAGATCGTAGTCGTCGTGTCATGTATAGCAAAAGATCGGCCTACTCCGCAGTACGGTGGTAATACAGCAATGTGCACACTCGCTGGTAGGGCCACTGCAATGTCTACAGGTTTAACTACTTGCTTAAGAACCCCAAAAGAATAATTAACCCATAATCCCTATACTACCCTTAATAAGGAAGAACATTCTTTTCTTTAGTTTTTTTTGGGGGGGGTTCCCAAGCAATTAGTAGTTAAAGCCCTTGAAGCAGACAGAACATTCCTCAAGCCCCGGGGGCCCCACTTCCTGCCATCTGCTAGAGCCCATCTGCAAGACTTAGTAGCTAAGTGAGTACACTTTACACTTTTTTGGATACTCTAATCCCCTATAGAACTGAAAGTGTAGACGTTTGAGGGGCTTATGAACTCAGCAACGAAGAAGAGACGCCCTAGTTGGAGGTTCATGGAGGGTTATAAGTAGGGTTATAAGTACCCTATGTAAGGTTATAAGCATAGTTGCCAGACTCAACCCTACCCCTAAACCCTATAGACCCTGGGCTACGTAAATCCAAACTCTCAACTCCGTGCCAGGAGCACGCGCTTCCTGCTCTTGGCCAGCTGTTGGTTTCTGGCCGATGCCTCGTTGCCTGCGAGACATGTGCCCAATTTCAATAGAGTATAGAGGTCGGAATCATTACGAAGAGTATTCCCTTACTGTCTGTATATAGGTGTACTGGAAGAACCCCCCAAACCCTGTCCTATTTATTAGGGGCCCCTATGTTACGCAGTTCCTTAACAAGACCCCAGTGAAGTCTCGCCGCATGCCAAACACATCTTTCAGACGGTCACCGACAGAAGGTATAGCGTCACGTTTCCGTGCTCCCAAGGAGACCCAGACGTACTTGCCTCCTTATTGCTGGCTAATGTAGGATGCAACGTCAAGGCGATTTTTTCCCAGATGTTGAGCGCAAGTATCTTGCTGTTGAGAGGGTATTGTAAGAGCAGGAAGACGACGAGGCACGCCCCTCTTCTCACTCGCTCCACCTCTCACTCTGTCTCTCTCTCCATCCCTCTCTCATTTGTCTTCTCCTTTCTGTTACTCCTTCAGTTTTGCAGATGAGGGTTAAAATGGTGCGTATGGCCTCGACTATTGTTGCCTCCTCCGCCGCTTGAGCTCAGATTGTAGACTCAGACGACACCAATACGTTTTTGATTCTTCATGGCTGCTTCGATGACTCAGCAAGATTTGGAGGACATCTACTCCGTCGCGTTTGGCGCGAAAGTTCGAAACACCTTCCTCCAGTTCCTGGTAGCCCAGTGGTACCCTTTACTCTTTTTGGGGGTTCGGGGCTTCCGTTTGCAAGTAGCCAACCCTGAAAACAGGGTGCCCTTATTATGAGAATTCGGGAGTTTAGGAGAATAAGGGACCTCTAATATCGACCCCCAAATAGTAGGACTCCCTGAGAACAAGGACCTCCATTAAGGTTCCCCTAAATTGGAAAGCCCCCCCCCCCCCCCCCCCATATAGTCTTCGTTACTTTATAGTCTTCGTTACTTGTCTACCAAACCCTAGCCCTAAACCCTAAACGCTAAACCCTAAACCCTAAACCCTAAACCCCACA